CCCGACACCGCACGTAATTTTTTCTAATCGACGGGTTAATGTCGTTGAAACACTGGGACGCAGTGTGCTGCCGAGTTCACGCACCATCGACAGCGAATCTTCAACCAAATATGCCCGTTATCCCCCGGGACACTGCCAAGGGCTTCCTGGGGTCCTCCCAGCAGGACCTCCCACCGGAAACTCCCCACCCCCCAAGAGAGCGGGTCTGAGAGGGCCGGGCAGGCAGTGGGTGCCGTGGGGCAGCGCAGACCCAGGTCCAGCCCAGCTGGGCCCCTGCCCGGCCTGCTGGGAGGAACACGGCCCTGGGCCCCCCACTGCCAGGGGCTGGTCCTCTCTGCAGACTGCAGAGCCCACAGGACACCTCCCCTGGGACACGGGCAAGTTTCATTAAGTCTGGAATGTGGCTGCATTCCTGGACGGGGACACCGACTGGCTGAGGCCCACAGCACGCGTCCCTGCGGACATCTGGACGGAGCTCTGTCCAACCACTTGTCCCCAAGGGCCTGGCTATGAGCCACAGGGCCAGGGGCTCCGTGGACACCGGAGGAAGCTGCGTGGGCTTTCCCGGCCCGCCCGGCTCCCGCTAGGTGGGGGCTGGCCGCGCCCTCGCCTCCGAGAATTATCTTTAAAGCTTTGGGGACATGCAGTGTCCTCACTGTTCTGAAGGCGGTGGGGACCTTTGTGGCCCAGTGACCTGCAAATTTATCTCCCTTAGGGGCCTCAAGTCTTAGACTCAGAGAGACGCTGAGATTTTAAAAATATTTTTCCAGAACCGTTGTGGCTTCACAGCAGAACCGAGGGGAGGCACAGAGATTCCCCAAATGCCCCCCACGGCCTCCCCGTCACCAACATCCCCACCAGGCCGTGCGTGTGTCACGGTGACACGTGGTCACTCGGAGTCCACAGCTGACGTGAGGGCTCACCTTGGTGGTGTCTCGTCAAATGTGCAGTGACACGTGTCCCCCAGGACAGTGTCATACAAAGCACTTCCGCGGCCCGGAAACCCTGTGTCCCCGCTGCTCGCCCCTCCCCCGGCCCCTCCCCCGAACCCGGCGACCGCGGACGGTTTTACCGGCGCCAGCTTCGCCTTTCCCGGAGTCACGTCATGGGACTCCGCAGAGTGCGCGCTGTCCCTGTGGGCCTCCCTCCCTGAGCGACACGTGCACGGTCCCCCCGTCTCTGCACGAGCCCAGAGCCGGCTCCTTCAGTGGCGGGAGGACACCCGCTGTCCGGCCGCGTGTTCTTGCCCGCCGCCCGCTGGAGGACGGCGCGCGGGAAGGACTTCGACCTCGCGTCTGTCTGTCCGCTGCCAGCGCCGTGGACGCCGAGGGTGGGGTTCCTGGTGGTTGGTTTGGGGTCGACAGGAGAGGGTGTCCTCGTCCCGTGTCCCGGTTCAAGGCCCCGGGGCCGAGGCTGCTCGGTCGCGTGGTGGGCGCTGTCCCTTGTCCCTACGGCCCTGCGGGAAGCCACCCCCGGCGTCCCCTTCACAGCCGGGACGCGCGGGCCGCCAGCCCAGCTCCACCGCCGTCCTCAGAGTGTCCCCGGGCCCACGAGGCGTCTCGGCTCCGGGACCGAGCCTCGACCGCGACGGGAGTTTCCTGCTTTCTCGGGGGCGACTGGTCCGTTTTCCCAGCTCGCGAAGGAAACTCGTGGCCATAAAACCCCCGAGACACAGAACGCGTAGTTTCGGAGGAAGCAGCGCGGCCCTCGCCCTCCGGGCACAGCCGGTCAGCGGGCACCGTTCACTTGGCACCAGGGATGGGTCCCAGACGTGGCGCCTTCTGCTTCCGAAGGGCTCGTCCTGCCGCTGGGCGGGGGACCGTG